ACATACCAAATCTTCCTGCACTGTGGAATGGTTCATTCCCGAGTTGTCATTAAGTTTTCTTTAAAAATCTGCAAGCTCTCCTGGGCACCGTTCTTCTTCATAGTTGTTATCCAAGGGATTCTACCTCCCAATCTCCTGAATAAGTGAAAGCCTGCAGTTCTTAAGTCTGCTCACCTTCCTAATTCTGCTGCTCACCTTCCCAGCCTTCCTGCAGATCCACAACTCAGTCATGTTATGGTCACTGAGATCCAGGCTGCCATCTGTGACCAAACCGGCACAGTTCTTCCCTGCTTGTGAGCAGCCAATGAAGTGAAGAGTTATCCCTGACCAGGCTCTCTGGCATGTGCATTACAAAATTTTTACCAACAGTCTAGAAACTACCAAGAGCGCAAGCACAATGCCAGATTGCCCTCCTAGCAGATGTCTGGATGGTTGAAATCCCCCATGAGCATGAGGGCCCATGAGTGGGAGGTTTCTGCTAGCTGTCTGTAGAAAGCAATATCCACTACCCGCTCGTAGTCATACGGTAACAGATGCCCACCACATCCCCAGTGTTCCCTTTCAAATCTTCTGTGGCCAGTGCTACTTATGTGAAAAATTAGCTCACAGTGTTGTAAAACTGTATGAAGATTTCTGAAGTACAGTTTGCTTGGTGCAGAAAAGCCAGACTATCAGTCTATTCTAAACTGAGCTTAGGGATCAAATGCATTAGTATAATTTCAATAATGTATTTCAACTAAAAAGAAACTACAACTGAAAATCAACAGACCTGTTTTTAAAACTTCCCATATACTGAAAAGATAACCAAAATAGACAAAACAGCTTTAAATTCACTATGGCATCTGCTATGCAACCATCCTGACTCCCTGAGTTTGCCAAGCAGGTTCAACTTCAGCCTTATGTATTAAAATGGGCAGGACTTGCAGAACACATTAACACGTATCAGGACTGTAACAGTTGCTAAACAGGAAAATTTAAATTTTGAACACCCGACAAATATTAAAACTCAGAAGCTATTTACTGACATCTACTCATGGGAACAACCGTGAAACCCTACCGAAGAGTGTACAGAAGCTTATCTGCCTGACAGCTCATCCCTTTCTTCCAACTATATCAGTGTGTCTAATAAATGACACTATTTTTTTGCCACCAACCTTTTCTCTCTTAAATGTTAGAATAATTTGAAATAACTCAGGCATAACTCTGCAAACTTTCACAACAACTGGCTTTGAAAATTCCCATCTCCATTTGCTGCCTCCTCAGTTGTGCTGACGCAACAACTGTTCGTAAGGCCTTGCTGTAAATCAAATCACTGGAATCGTTTCAGTCACCACAATGCAGCCCCCTAAGTACAACTACGGAGGCAATGAACAATAGCAGGAACATTAAGAGAAAGATGAAAGAACTAAGTCTCTTAAATAGGTTTTGCCAGTGAAAAAAATATTGCTAGAACCACACTCCCAGCTGTCAACATGTGAACTTCAACACGATAATGACACAGGTAAAGTTGGAAAAGGGAATGTGCTGGAAAGCATTTACATCCATCATCAACCAGTCCTTTAGTCTTTGGACAGTGATAGACCCGGAAAAAAAAAACCACCCGAAAACCCTTCTAAACACATGGTCCCATTCATAGTCTTCTTTCAGGTTATAAATTTTTGCCACAATCACTCTTAGATCCTGTACACTGATGATTAACATTACAGGATCCTGAAGCCTGATAGAGTTTTCACAACTGACTGTGTTATATCCAGCAGATACTCTTGTATGTATTACTGAGATCTTTTAGGCTTTAAACACAGGTTTGATTAGGAACTGGGACTGACCAGGTTTTGGAAAGCATGGGAAGTGAATCTGGACAGGCAGAGCTGCAGAAAACAGTGAATGAAGTTTGTTACTTGTGTAGACCATAATATAAACTAAGTGTAAGTTGTTTTATGTACATTGACCAGCAAAGCACACGAGAGACCTTCCTTTGCCTGTACTATCTGACTGGCAATGATTTTTATTTTTCCAGCTCTTCAGTTTTTACCAAATTCAGCATTTGTTCCCACCAACCCCTTAAAGCATCTCTGATACTGAGTATTCCATCAGACTTTATAAAAAATTTCGTATTACATATAGATAGATTCAAATAATTAAACGTCAGTGAACTGAGTTACATAGAACTTCACTTCGTTCAGCTCATACTGTGTTTAAAATAATAATTCATCGCAAATAGCACTGTAGTCTACAAAAACTTGATTCTTTTCAGTCTTTTGGAAGGAAACATGAAACCTGCATTGAAAATTAATCTGATAGTCATCCTTCCACAACATTTGTTCATATAAATTAAGTTTCCCTCATTAAATAAATTGTGCAAACCCAAACCCTTCCTAGATATTCCTCATTACCCTTTAGTCACTGAGTGCCTCTGTCTTTCACTTTGAGATGTCTCTTAAACTTTACCACTAGATACTCTAGCAGTTCTTCCACAGCCCCAGTGCACGAGCAAGCCATATTCGCGTTACAAAGACAGAGCTGGAAAGCTAAGCATGGCTCCTTCATGTGTAACAGGACAAAATCAGGCAACAGTCTCTCCTTTACACTTAAAAGGTACCATCACAGACAGTAAATCTGATCTGGCAGGGATGTCAGATCCGAATTACTGGGTAGACAACACTTGTCTGTTAACAGCTTCCAGCCTTTCCAGAAATAATTTCTTTATCAGTAGGGAAAAGACATGCAACCTCAACACTGCTTACAACAAGACTTGTAACTACAGCAGCTGCACAAAAATAGCAAAAACACGTATTGCACACAAAATTTCAGACCATCTCTCTTTGTAACTTCAGTAACCTCAGAGGAGTGATAGGGCCTGCAAGAGCACATGCAATCATCTTTAAAATAAAATTAATTAAAAAAACCACAACAAAAAGCAAAAAATTAATAGTATTCCTAATACCAAGGTCCCAAATTCACAGAAGCACAGGAAGCACTATAATGAATGAGATGTTTCAGGTGCTGGGAGGTCAAATATCCCTAATATTATCTCTTAGCCTGCCTTTAATAAACTACAAGATTGTCTAGAGCTTTGAGATTTAAATCTTTCTACCAAAACTAATACCATCATTGATTGTAACTGGGAATACTCCTATTATTCATATACATATACAGCGTATTCATGAATATTGCTAAGTTACACTCAGTTACATTCCATATCACATGGAAATTATTAAGTATTTTTAGTAATACTGCGTTTGCTACCATTTTCCTTTTGCTGAATTTCTTCTTGTTCTTAAGCTTACTCATCCCAACAAAGGGCTGAAAAGTGCTGAGCTACCTTCTTCAGGTGCTTGTTTCACACATTGTTAACTTGTGCCCTTTTATTCCTATTTGTTTTAAGATAAATAACCCTAGGTTTTTTAGTGCTTTTCACAAATAAAATATGTTCTATTCAAAAATTCTTGAAGGAATTTTATGGTTATCAATTCCTCAAAGCTTCCTTCTTGAGAAAGGAAAGGCTTTCTTCTTTGAGAAACCAAACACATATTTAAAGAAATGAACTGATCAACTAATAAACAGTTTAAAAAAAAATAAAAATGGAGATAAATGGTATTAAAGGGGTGTAATTAAGAGCTTTAGCGAGTACCCCACCATCAGAATCACCTCCTGTCATTCTATCTCCCTAATTTACAGCTGCTCATCACTCGCTCTGTATTTAGTAGCTTTATTGCTTTTGGCATTCATCCACAGAAGTGCCAGCTACCACAGGCATATGTCACCTTTTCCAAATGCCACTTCTGCTCTGCACAGGCCCATCATCTGTCTCAAAGGTCGCCAGAGGATATTCCAGGACAGTTCAGGTCATCCTTCCTAGCATGTGCAAGCTCAAGGTCAACCCCTATCTCGTTAGCATACGGTGCAGGCACACTCAAACACGAATCAGCCTTGGCAACCCCTGATATGGGTATGGCTTTGCCTTAGCGGAAGGACAAAGCCACGCAACGCAGAAACAGAAAGCACTGCAAGATGGTAATAAGCCCGCTGATAGAGAAGAGCAGTTCTCACAGGTACAGGCTGCGGGGCTGCTCCTTGCTTCACTGCGGGTGAAACACTTCGAAAGAGAAGCTACGGAAAGCCACACTAAGCGTCCCTGCGAGTCTGCGGCTGAACTCTGCCCTTTCCTCTCACGCAATACTCACGAGCATAAGAAGAAACAGGGACGGCAGCGCAAACTGGACAAACCAGCAGCCCATAAGGTGGAAACCTGCCTCCAGGCCTCCCCCGGGCCGCCTGGCTGAGGGGAGAGCGGGGCTGCCCACATCCCCGGGCCCGGTGTCACGGCCTGGGGGTTGGCCGGGGCGAGGGAAGCCAGGGGGATGCTGTAGGGAGGCCAGGGCCGGACCACCCCGGGGGACCAGGGGTCGTTACCTGAGCCGTGCAGCGCCCTGACCTCCAGGCGGCC